GGGGTGTGTGGGGGGTGTGTGTGTGTGTGTGTGTGTGTGTGTGTGTGTGTGTGTGTGTGTGTGTGTGTGTGTGTGTGTACATACATACAATTCAAATCCTGGAGACCAAGACCCCAAAATGCATTTTCGTGCACATGTGTGTGCTTTTATAGGCAAATGCTTAAAATAAATGTGCCAGTCTTGTCATTGACTTCTTTTTCTAAGCAGCTCATGCTTTAGTGTAAACACTTGGATTCATCATCACTAACTGCAGTCGTGTGCCCTGTGTGAAAAGTGAACAAAGAGCATGTAAAGGGGTGAAGGGTATTTATTTATTTATTTATTTATTTTCATGGCTGGTGAACAAGTTGACTTTCGCAGAAAAATGCTGATGGAAACATAAATGTGGTCAGCATGTTTTTCTCTCCACAGCTGCTGATCTTACATGTTTACGTTCCATTTACTGAATAGTCCTGTTTTCTAGCGTTGGTAAGTGTACTGCACTTGAATGTATCATAGCCAGCCTGGTAACGATAATGTACTGTATATTTTATTCGAATGGAAGATCGGTTTACTGGTGTAGCATAGAAACACACGTTAAATGATGAGAAGCAAATTGATCAACTATGTTTTCCAAAGAAATGGGGTCTGTCTTGTACTCGCAAGACTCAACAATGTTTTCTGTCACCCCAAGCCACTCTAAGGAAAAAGAAAGGTGGTAAGTTATCATAGGCATGCTAACACAACGATACTCGATATTTACTTCATTTTCTCCACCTTTCTGCGATCAGCTAACACTCCCATATTTATTATTTTGTGAGTGACTTACTTCAGTTAACCCAAATAGGGTCACTCAATGTCATGTTTTTGATACTGTTGTTGTCTTTCTTAGCCACTGCATGATTCGATGTTGTAACGTGAAAATGTATTCCAAGTTCTTCTGCCCATTTGACGCACTTGCTGTACCACAATGTATTGTTTGTTGTTCTTTTGGAACTTTTTGTTTGAAGTCGATATGGCACTGTCGGGATGTTTTTAAATCGTAGCCCATCACAAATTGTTTCCTAAATCTTTTATGCAGAATGACACACAATCTTCTTTTATATCGCTAACATCAGAAAGCTCTCCAAAACATGCTATGCAGAGAAATGTAAATGTGTTTGTGATTGTGTATGTCAGCAAAACACACACAAAAAAAAAACACTGTCTCAACAAGTCAGTGTTTGTTAATCAGGTCAAACCTAAAAAAAAAAAAAATTCACTGTCATTTCTTTTTCTTCATGTGTTCGTCTATTCTTTACCCCCACATGTCACTGCAGGCTTATGTGTTTGTGTGTGCGTACAATACATGTGTGCGTCTGTGTGAGGAGAGAGGTTTATTCCAAGAAAGAAAGAAGAAATGTTTCAGTCAGAGATAGGTTTCCAGGGCAACAGTGTTTTGTGATATGATGTAGCTGAAATCCAATTGGGAGGCAGGTTCAAGAGAAAGGAAATTTGTATTTTAGTGTGTGTGTGTGTGTGTGTGTGTGTGTGTGTGTGTGTGTGTGTGTGTGTGTGTGTGTGTGTGTGTGAGACTGTCGTAAAGGAGTTAAGGTCATTGATGCTCCTTTCCTCCCCTCCCCCCCTCCCTATTCCTCTCCTCTGTGTGTAGATGCGCAGAAGAAGAGGATTGTTTTCCGAGTCACTCTAAGTAATCACACCCCATAATGCATGGAAGCTTTCTAATGAGAAAGAGTCAGGGGAGGTGATGTGAGGCTAGATCAGGGCTAGCATGTAGCTTCCATGAGCAAAACACAAAGTGGGCTCTACATCAAATGGCATCATCACGGAGGGGAGTTCAGTCCTGCCAAGTATGCCGTTGATCTATTTGGAGATTCAACAAACAACAGAGAGAGCGAGACCAGACAGAAGATAACGGCATACTTGTGAGATGAACTACTGAATTGCTCATTTGGTAGTGACTGAGGAACAACCCGAAGACTTGGATGATGCTATTGAGTCGGCTGCTTCGAAAGAGTTTGCACGGCTTCCAAGGCTTTGACGCAGCCAAGACATTCCATCTCAGCCCACTTGCTCCCCCTGTTTTACGTTTCATCCGCAACATGAGCGTGCAGGGGAGGATCTTGTGAATCATTCGCTTGCATTTGGCTCATGAGATCCTGATTGAAGCTTTGCAAACCGAAATCCGGCTTGGTAGTTTGTCTTCTTTCTTCATGAAATTAGGAATTGCTTTTGTTTTTTTCAGATAAAGTTGAAGAGATGACGCATGCCCAGAAGACATCGCCAGTTGATATGAAGATCGCAACAATCAAGCCACGCCCATCCAGTCGCTGCTTGATTACACCCACCGAACTAAATGTAAGATAATGCAACCGAACTCAACTGTGTTTTGTTTTGGGGGGTTTTTAGTTCTAATCATAACCGGTACATTTCTAGAAAAATGTATTGATGAGATCTGGGTAGGTCACTTTTTTTTTTCTCGTGCATGGTCATGCACAAAGGCGACTTGGTTCTGGGGCTGGAACAGATCAATTCTATTTCCTTTCATTTTAATGTGAGAACTGAGATTTCCATGTAACTAAGATTGAGCAGTTTGTCTTTCTTGATTAATTCAGTTGAAAAAAATTATTGGATATACTAATGATAGAGAAATCTGTGAGCAAAATTGAATCATGTTTAAAGTTTCATTTAATTTGGGCACATCTAAACATTTGAGTGCGTATCCAGCGCCCAAATGCATGGGTGCAAAGGCGCCGGCTGTCTGGGCGGAGGGCTTTTGAGGTCCACAATTATCACATCAATGAAGGGGGTGAACAGGGAAGAAGGCCAGACTCGGTCACAAAGGGGGAAAGAACGATTCGGGAACAAAGCGTTGTTGAACAACAAAAGACGATTTGAGAACACCCGTCGCGCCCAGGTGACATTTGTCGTCCGCAAAGTCTGCAACATGTTGTTTCAGTGTAGACCAGACAGAAAGGCGTCAACGTACCGGTGGTTCAAAGCTTAAACCAAGGTAACCAATCACTACCGATGGGCCGGGCGTGCGGTATGCAAATATCGGGGGCAGTGTTTTTTTGTATTTTGCATATGTTACAATAAAAGTTCGAACTGGCGGAGAGGGAGCTCTGAGTGTGATTATCGGGGCAACTACCGTCGTTCGCCCTCAGAGATATTTCCCGTCGATATTGAAGACAATATTCCCTGTGTGCCGAGTCATTTGTTTCACTTTGTCCGAGAAAAACTCTGACAACTGTATACAATTTGGACAAACAGATCCAACCTCCTTTTTTCCTTTGCTTTTTCTTGTTTCAAGCACAACTTTTATCCCTTTACTCTGAGCTTGCTTCCTCAAACTTCCGTTTTTTTAATCACTGCTTGCCCGCCTCGCATGCACTCATTTGCTCTATTTTCAAACATGCGCTGAATAAACAGTTTAATCGATAATCATGTCACGTGTGAGGAAAAACAATGCATGTGAGTCGTCTGCGCATTTCCGTGACAGTTGTAGAAATATTAACTCTTCTCCTGGGTCTAACTCAGTGTGAAACGAATTATTCCGACAAGTGAGGCCAGCCATGAGTTTAGAGTGGGAGTACACAAAAATGGTATGACTCCAACTTTGTGATGAATTATTGGAACAGGTACCGAACCCAACCAGTTAATATGCACATTGACAGAATCCTTCATTCGTGGGGAAAAAAAATTCTATCTATCC